CTTATAGGTAACCTTACGGCCAACATACTTACTGCTTTCAAACTTCAATTTTGATTTAATGGGGGACTTGAAAAAACATATTGAGTGATTTCTTTCGAAATCTGCCCAAATCCATGTATTAAAGGGAATGTTTAAAATAATAATAATAATTATCTTTTACTCACCCTGGTTTAATTTCAAACCATGATTGACTTTCTACTGTGGAACATGAAGAAAATTGAGAAACATTTGAAGAACATTTTGAGATTGAAAAACATTTGAAAAATTTTGAGAATTTTTTTTTTTTTTTTTTTTTTGTCCATGCAATGAAAGTATTATTTGGTACCCAACATTCCTCATATACAGTATAGTGGTTTATTAGTTTTCTTACTCTTCTGTTTTTGCTGCAGAATGCAAGCCTGAAAACAGATGCTGGCACAATCTCCAGTGCTGCACCAGACCTCTGCATTGTATACAAGCTTCATCTTGAGTGTGGAAGACTCATAAATCTGTATGACTGGCTTGAGGTACAAACATGCTAAATCAAAATCACATGTGGAGGTGGGCTATCTTTTTCTAACACTGTGGATGGAACCTGTCATTGTGTTTGACATTTTCAGGCATATGTAACTGTGATGTCAGCTGCGGAGGACCAAGATACTGATTCTGAGGAGTGTGGCCAATATGACAGCCTTAAGCAGTATCCTTTTGACATTTTGCTCGTTCTATTTTAGTGATGAAAGTGTGTTCCTTAATTTAATACATTTTTAACTTCATTAAAAGTTCTGTTACTGCATTCTTTAGAGGTAATGTTAAAGATAAAAGCTTTTGACTCATAAATGTACAAGTTGTTAATTGTACACAGTTACTTGTATTTTAAAGTTGTCTATAAAAATATATTTCTAATGTATTGTTCTTAACACTGACAGTGCTCGTTTCATTCAGGCTGTTTCTGAGATGGAATTTCTTGGTTTTGTTAAATCAACAAAACAGAAGACTGACCATGTGGCAAGACTGACTTGGGGAGGTTGTTAAAGAAATTATTTGCAAAGCAATGTTTCCTGAGCACAAGAGACTGGCCTGACATGCATGAAATAATTATGTATTTTGCACCACAGCTGTATTTTGTACTGTCAGCTGTATTATACATGTTACTATTACCTTCTTTTTTAAACATTTGGTTATGTTTTGGTTAATTGGAATAAAAATAATATACTGTTTTTATGTCTGTCAAATATTTTAATTCACTAGATCTGGAAAGTTTTAATTTTATTAAACCTTAGCTATACAGGTTAACAAACATGAAAATGAATTTTATTCCAATATTTGAAAGTGACCGTTGGATAAAATAATATTTTTATTCACAATTCAAAGAAATTAATGCATAATTAAATAAATGCATAATGATCCTCACTCAACAAACCTTAAGTTTTATGTCAAACACCACAGAAATTGGAGGGGGACTCGGGGAATATTGATATGCTCCCAGACAGGCTATAAAATAAAGTGCTGATTTAAGTTAATATTTTATTCCTGAATACATTTTGCATCAGGATAGAAAAGTGAGCAATTTGATTATTACATGCTTAGAAAACTATGATGTTTTAATGTCAAAGTAAAGATTAACATTCTCCAGCACTAAAAAGAAATCAATTAAACCATATAACCCCAGAAAGCCATATTTTTATCACATATTCCTGTTAAAATGGAAGCTTTTTGAGATAAAAAAAAAAAAAAAAGTAAAATCATGTCAGATCTTTTCCCACTTTTAATGTAAAATTGAAACCAACATAAAATATGTTTGTTTACATGTTTGTAAAAAATAAGTCACTTTTAAACACTTACTGAAAGTAATTATATTTCTCTGGTCATCATTTAAGTGAATAAAAAAAAAAAAAACGTTTCTGTAGGATTTTCTTAACATCGTAACGTCTTGCTATGGCCTGTGGATGTGAGGGATCAAAAAAGTGTTTGGAATTGCTCAGTCAGAGCCCAGATCATTAGAAAGCCTGAATGATTTAAAATGACTGATGATTTGGAATGATTTGAAGAGGACTGACTGTACACTAAAGTGATCAGATATTGGAAATGTAAACCAGGGACATTTAGCTCAGTGGTCAAAATATCATTTAAATCTCACCTGCTATCTAAAAAAAAGTAATATATATTTTTAAGCGTTTTGGGTTTCTATACTATTATAATTTGATTACTGTAATGTTTGCATTGTGGGTCAAATGACGTCAAATTGCACATTTTCAAGGGCACCCAAAATAGCAATTGTTTTTTTTAGTTTTTTTTTTATTATTTTTATTTTTTTTCCGCTAGCAATCTTCTGGAGACATCTGCACTGGTAAAACGTGTTTCCTGTTTGTGTCGTATTTTAACTTAAAACAGTTTAGTTTGTATTGAATATAGCTGTTGTTTAAATATGTGGCTTGAAAATAAAAACTAATTTTTTTAAAGGGCTTTAAATATGTTAGAGTAGTTGTCTGGTTTATTAGCGTATCGTAGTCTTATAGATAGATTGAGGAAATATCTATCTTATAGATAGATTATAACATATACAGTCTTTATTATAAATCTCTCCATCAGGGGATGTGTGTCTTAACTTTAATACAATTACATTGTTATTCACGGTTTCATCTAAGTGCTCTGAGCCAGGGCAGAAAAGTCGCTGTTACCTAAATTTCCGTTGCTGAATTATATTCTGTATTTTCCAATTAAATCACAAATATTTTCATAAATTGGAAAGGTCCTGCATACGCTATATACGTTTTAACTTTACCGTTTAAAATGTCAGTTAAGGTATGAAACCGACAGTTTGTTTCAAAGTAAATGCAGTTCAGAAAGTTAACCACAAGGTGTTGCCCGAACATCACGAATCTCCTGTTGAGTCTTTAAATCCAGCTATTTAGGGTGATAATTGACGAATAACACAGGTGTTATTGCAGGCAGGGGCGCCGCTAGCAATTTTGGGCCCTATGAAAGAATATGAGGTTGGGCCCCCTACCGCACCAAACATAGACCTACACTGTATTGCCCAAAGTATTGGGACCCCGGACCCCCTAATGAACAAGTTTGACTACTTTAGTGATTTCCACGAGTACAAATTTTAATGTTGAAGCATATAATGATATATGGAATTGTGTGCTTTTAATTTTATACCAATAGTTTGGACAGGACCCTTTTCTATTCTAACACAACAATGCCTCTGT